AAACAACAGCTTGACCTGGAGCTGAGCTGCCTTATGTGACCGGCCACTGTGTAGGCTGCAGTGAGGCTGGCCAGCAGCTGGCCTGCTCTTTCGTGAGCTGCTGTGAGCCACCGTGAGTGGCCGTCCAATGGCCGGCGAGCGACTGCCTCACCCAGGAAGAGCGCAATGATAAATACCAACATGGGCCAGTGAAGCAACATCCTCCACAACTGGATTGAAGAACAAAAGGACAGCAACTTGTCTGTTCCCCTTCCCCAATTCCTCAACGGTGTTCCCCTCCCCCAACTCCCCAATGAAATCTTTTTTAAAAAATCGCTAACCAAAATTGGGAAGGAGGAAATAAAATTATCGTTATTCACAGATGACAAGATCATCAATGTATGAAATCCAAAATAATCAACAATAACAATAAAAGACTAATGGAATTAATAAGGAATTATAGTAAGGTTGCAGGATATAAGTTTATATGCAAACGTTAATAGCTTTCCCATATGCCTGCAATGAACAAGTGCAATTTGAAAATAAAAACATGATACCATTTACATTAGCACCCCAAAATAAAATCTAACAAAGGTAGAAACCTAACATAATATGTACAAGATCTATATGAAGATGAAGGAAATCAAATAACTAAATAGGGCCGGCAGAGTGGCACGTTGATTAAGAGCTGGCTTGGGACGCCAGAGGGCCCCAGTTCAGATCCCACATATGAGGGCCAGTGACACTGCCCTCTACAGCTAAGATGCTGAACAACAGCTCAACCTGGAGCTGGGCTGCCATGAGTCGCCAGCAATGGCGTAGGCTGCAGCCCCTACTGCAGTGGGTTGCCATGGGCTACCGTGTGTAGCCAGCAGCCAGCGTGAGCGGCCAGCAGCTGCAGTGAGCGGCCATCCAGAAGCTGGCGACTGATCTGCCTCTCCCGGGAAGAGCACAATGATGGTGCCAACTTGGGCCAGTGAAGCAACATCTTCCACAACTAGACTGAAGAACAGAACAACAGCAACTTGTCTGTTCCCCTTCCCCCAATTCCCCAGTGCTGTTCCTATCCCCCAATTCCCCAATAAAAATCTTAAAAAAAAAAGAACTAAATAAATAGGGAGAAAGTCCATTTTCATGGATAGAAAGACTCGATATTGTCTTTATCCATATCAGTTCTTCCAAACTTGATCTATAGATTCAATGCAATCCCAATCAAAATCCCAGCAAGTCATTTTGTAGATATCAACAAACTTCTAAAGTTTATAGGAAGAGTCAAAAGACCCAGAAAAGCGAACACAATGTTAAAGGAGAATAACAAAGTTGGAGGATTGATATTACCAGGCTTCAAGACTTACTATAAAGTGACAGTAATTAAGACAGTGCGGTTTTGGTGAAAGTATAGACAAAGAGATCAATGGAACAGAAAAGACAGGCTAGAAATAAGACTCACATAAATGTAATCAACTTCTTTGACAAAGGAGCAAAGGCAGTACAATGGAGCAAACAAACAAATGGTGCAGGAACAACTGGGCATCAACAAACAAAAAAATGAATCTAGACACAGACCTTACACCCTTGCCCGAGGACCCATGTGTATTCAATGACGAAGCTGGGATTTGAATCCAGGTAAACCCAATCCAGAGCCCATAACCTTAATCTTTACACTATGCACATCTCCATTGTGTGCAGGCCTCACATAGAGGTCTACCATTTTTCAAATGTATGAAAATGAAGCTGTCATCACTAAAACAAGTAAATAAATAGTTTTATGAAATGCATATAGTAGCCGTACTTGCCAGTGATATAGTTTGTGTTTTCTTAGTAAACAGAAAACAAACGTAGCAAGAAATTATGTAAAGGTACTTAATTAACATTTTTGGTATTACATTTTTTACACAAATCATGTTGGTAATGTTCTAATTCTTAGGTTGGGTGGTATATTCCCAAAGTTCATTATGTTGCTTTGTTACATAACATTTGTACTCATATGTACATGCATATACACATACACAGACTCATCTCACATTCTTTTGAATGACTCAAATATTATATAATTTTTTAAATGTTTAAGAGCACTGCTAGTCTAAGAAGGTCAAAATAGCAACTTTAAAAAACAAGAGGGTCTTCATGTGTGAAGGACAGGCCCAGCATTAGGGAGGTGAACCAGATGAGCTCAGGAAGGCTCATTTTGGCAATAATAAAACTTCTAGGGCCGGCCGAGTGGCGCAATGGTTAAGGGCTTGCTTGGGATGCCAGAGGGCCCCGGTTTGGATCCCACATATGAGGGCCAGTGACACTGCCCTCTACAACTAAGATACTGAACAACAGCTCAACCTAGAGCTGGGCTGCCATGAGTCGCCGAGACAGCATAGGCTGCAGCCCCTGCTGCAGTGGGTTGCCATGGGCTACCGTGTGTGGCCAGCAGCCAGTGTGAGCGGCCAGCAG